TGGTCTGCAGAAAGCCAAGTCCTAATCCCAGCTGAACACCTCTGCTGTGACTTTAAATGCAGACCTTGAGCCAAAAACTCATCACCAAACACCAATGATTTGTACATAAATATGGACAAATGTATTGGGACACCCCCTTCTTTAGAACAGAAAAAGGCACTTCCAAAACTGTGGCATCAAAGATGGAAACATAATTCATATATTTAAAAATCGCATTTCCATCTTTGTTGCCACAATTTTGGAAGTGTCTAAAATGATTGTACGCATATGTACAAGTCATTGGTGTTGGGTGATGAGTTTTATTGAGTTTTCCCAATACTTTGGGCAATATAGTGTATGTTTGGTGCGGTAGGGGTCCCAACCTCATATTCTTTCATAGGGCCCAAAATTGCTAGCGGCGCCCCTGGTCACAGTGAATATGTTTCAGTGACTTTATGCCTAGAAAAAATCTGATGTAAAAAAACAGAGTTGAAATATTGAGATTGACGAGGCTGACAACATGTAACAACAGTGCAAACAATGAAATTAAAAAGACTGTAAAAGAAGCCTACCAAATGATATCATCTTCAGATGCTGAGATTATTATTATTACCCCAGGTGGAAATGACACCGCATAACTCACAGATTCATTCTTTTATTTATTTATTTATTTTAATGCAAGAATGCATAATGGCAATGAAAGCATGACATTTTAATTCCAATAAAAGCAGAATGTTGGCACATTATTATTATTATTATTATTATTATTCAGTATAACCAGTTGACATTTACTGAGGACAAAACTGGATGATAATACCATGTGAAAACATTTAAAAGTGAAACTTTTCTTCTTCAGCATTACACACAAGAAAGAGTTCGATATATCAAATAACGTGACTAAGATCAGCATCCTGTTAATTATATCAGAAGGCAGACATGAGGACACAAATGAAGCCGTTTCCTGAGAATGAGTCACTGATTATGCTAGCAATTGTCAGTTGAAGTGAATTTGTCTCTGTTTCCTGACAGAAACTCCTGCGCCTGCAGTCTGTGGGAAGAGTGAGTTTACATGCAGCACTGGAAAGTGTATAAGCATTAACCTCCGCTGCAATTTCTTCAATGACTGTGAGGACTACGGCTCTGATGAGATCAGCTGCAACAAGAAAGGTGAGTTTGTCGGGTTTTTTTGTCAAAACTGAAAGATTGAGGGACACTGAGTACGTGTTTGTGTTGTTCTGTGTCTCTGAACAGATTCGGGTCTAAATGAATGCCGTAACAACCGCAGTATGTGTGGAGATGAAGGTCACTGTGTGGTGAACAGAACCGACTTGTTCTGCTCCTGCAAACCCGGCTTCCAGAAAACACACCCGCAAACCTGCACAGGTACCGGTACAGCACACACAATATACGGCTATTAATACATAAACATGCTCTTCAATAGCTGATAAAGCTTTAAACCCTTGTATTGCTTTAGTAACTAATGACGGGTTCAAACAAAAGAAAGCACAAGGAATTTACTTTCAATCTCCTACAGATCACATATTCTTTAGGGATTATTAATCAAACACCAATAATGACAAGAAAACTAGAGCACAGCTCAATTAATCCTCTAAAAACAACCATAAACACAAAATTAGGATTAAAAAAGAATCCCTTTTTCTTGTATTAATTACAAACCTGCTCCTGCAACACCAAACCAAACCCGAATGAATGCATCATATAATCATTCAGCAGAGGCGATTGTGAGATTCACTTTATGCATCTAATGTTTTTGTGCCTGTCCGTGTTGTCATTATTCTCTCTCAACAGATGTGAACGAGTGCAAGCAGTTCGGGATCTGTTCTCACATCTGCAACAACACTAAAGGCTCCCACAAATGCAGCTGCTCCAAGAACTTCATCAAAGTGAACGACACCTGCAAGGCGGACAGTACGTTTCAAACTAATGCAACAGTCAGTCAAGCCAAGTTTATTTGTACCGGTTTTCACAATACATATTGTTTCAAGGCAGTTTTACAGAAAATCCTGATGTTAATTATTAAAATATCTTCATATCAATATCAATATCATAATATACTCTTAATATCTGCCTTATAGTCATATTTAGCAGATCTTAACTGATCTAAGATTTGCATTTGCGTTTGTAATTTGTTATTTTGTTTTCAGAATTGTGATTTGCTTTGCACTTCTCGGCCACCGTACAGTCATGATAAAAAAATAATAATAATTTCAATAAATATTTAATTTACAGTGCATGTGAAATAAAATAAACCCATGTTTGTTGTTTTTGCCCATTTTCTTGATTTTGGGTGATAACATTGAAGTAATAGTAATATTTTAGAGGACATGTTTACAGTAATATGACCTTTTATTGGCACTGACAAAGTAATATTAACAAAAAGTAACAGCAATATTTCAAATGAGAAAAAGTCCCACAAACATGCAAAATATAACTGAATAACAGTGCAGAGTAAACTAAGAATGACTTTAGCACAAGGAATAAATGAAGTAAGCTGATCGATAATATAGATTATTTGCAACAATATAAAGTTATATAAGGTTTATATATATATATATATATATATATATATATATATATATACTATAATGCTCGTGTGTGCAAATACACACACACACACACACACTGTAATATGTAAAACAAATGAACAAGTAAGTTGTTGCAGGTGCATGGGTTTATAACATTAAAGTATACTGGTATTTTCATTAAATGTTAACGTTTATAAAATGACCAGTTGGGTAGTTTACTTAAGGTGACTAGTGCAAACATATGATGCCGTATGCATACGCATAAAGAACACTTTAAAATGATTGTCACTGCATTATATAACAAAACATCAAAGCACGAATCATCTGCGCTCATATGCTGCAGAATGCATTTAATTAAAGGCTGTTAAATGTAATCGAGTCATATGTGCTGGAGACCCGATCTTACCTTTGTGCTGGTCAATGTGTTCTAGCTGTTATATATATACTATAATGTATGTATAAAGTTGTATATATAGTACATCAAATTTATTTATATATAAGTTTGATGTACTATATATACAACTTTATATAGAGAGCTGTGCAGTATAATGTATAGTATATCTCAATATATGAGAATATACTGAATGTATGCAGGTAAAGTTGGATGTACTATATATCCAACATTAAATATATTGCTGTGGGATATTATAGTTGAGAGTTGAGATTTTCTTTATTTTACATACCAGTTTATGAGAGTATGCAGATTAAGTTCTACATTTGTTTACATTGAGTAAATATGATTTCGGTATTACAGTTTCTTTCTGTCATTCTGCTGTGACGCCCTCTATCTGTCGTTCTAGGCAGTGACAAACAGGCTCTGTACGTGGCAGATGATAATGAAATTCGCAGTTTGTATCCTGGAATGCAAAACTGGATATATGAACAGGCCTTCCAAGGAGATGCCAATGTACGGATCGATGCCATGGACCTGCACATCAAATCCAAACGGATCTTCTGGACCAACTGGCACACTGGCAGAATCTCCTCTTTCGAGCAGCCTTCTCCTGGACCCGCCTCGCCGAACTCAAACCGCAACCGAAGACAAACCGATTCCAGAGTTACTGATCTAGAGGTCAGTGCTGCTCAGTGACATAACAGCACATGTCCACCTTTATTTTTTACTTTAGAGAGGTGCCGTCATTTATGACTCAAATATGACTTCCAGTCTCCTCCGCTTTCAGTTATTTAACCTGTATGAAAACAGTCTGTTTTGCTGCTTGATATTGCAAACCAGTTATATCATTTTTTTCAAAATGTGTTATTGTAATAATGAACACACACTAGTCTGTAGTGCAAATAGTTTTTCATTTACTGTTATCCTTCTAGTTATGAATAAGAAGTCTCACACATTCACAGAAAATAAACTTAAAAAAACTTTTAAAAATAATATTAAAAATAATAATAAAACAAGTATTGAATTAAATTAAATGAAAACAAACTTTATTTCAGCTGGTTGCCAGGCAACCTTTCTCATTTTAATTTAGTTTAACAATGTACTAAAACTAAAACTGAAATAAAATAATGAATAAATAAATAAATTAGCTCAAAAACACTGATTAATATCTGTCTCTTTTATCTCAAACTTGATTTATTTATGTATGCATTAAATGCATAAAGTGTATTTAATGCATTTTTTTTATTTATTTTAAGGGATGAGAGTCATGGCAGTCATATGGTGGCCGAGAAGTGCAAAACAAATCGCAATTCTGAAAACAAATTACAAAAGCAAATGCAAATCTAAAAAACTAAATAACAATTCAGAAAACTCAACAACAATTCCAAAAACATTATAACAAGTCAAAAAACACAACGGCAAATCCGAAAACAAAATAAGTCAGAAAACACAATGACAAATCCAAGTATAGGTCACTGCGGACCTAACGTTCAATTAGGGCTGGGCGATATAGCTAAAAAATGTATCAACGATATAATGTTTCATATCGTTTGGTATCGATAATTATTTACATTTTTTATAACCTTTTTTAAAACAAAGAGTAATAGACATTTTTTTTTAAATTTAACCACTGTGTTTTTAAATTAACCCAATTTATTGAGACAAACAACAAATATTTTTTTAGTTTTAACAGTCAAACACACAATAAAAATCAACAAATATCTAATTTCTAATGTTTTTTTATGTAGATTAAATAGGTCTTAAGGAAATTTTGGCTTGTCTCCGAAGGCCACAGGAGGGCGCAATGAGCAAAATAATGCAGCACATTTAAATGGTCAACTCAAAGATTTAACTGTCTATAAAAAAACATGCATTATGTCTAAATTAACTCATATAAATCAAATATAATTTCATAAATTGCATAAACAATTATGAACAAAACAGCATCATGTATTTATGCATTGCTTAATACAAAGAGCCAAATCGACCATCACACAGATTGCCTTTAAAAGCATATGAGACGCAGTGAAAAGAAATAAACCTCCACAAATTTGTGACATGTTTTCTAAAAGTTTAAACTGTTTTAACTTTGCATGGCTACATCTCTTGTGTGAGACGCGAGTGCAGCAGTAAAAAATGTTTTTCATCTAAAAAATGCGCTGAATATGCATTCTGTGTGAATGGTTTGGTTTCAGTTTTCACCTTTATTTTAAATTCGACTAATATTAATTTGTTTTATTCACAATCTCCTCATCACAGGCAGGCACAGCACTCAATTCAGCATGTGTTCGTGTTTGTGTGTGCTGTCTGCGTCACTCATAGCGCGTGCCTATATCATGCACTATATCGAACATTTTTTATATCGATATCGAAGAAGGTGTACCGTCGATAAATATCGATACTGTTTTATTGCCCAGGCCTACGTTCAATGTCATTTTCATCTCATCTAAATTATAATGCCTGATAAAGTAGCGTTTATGAGAGCTGCACAGCTTTTGGCCACATGTCACGTCACTTTTGTGTACAGCTGTTACGAGGGAAACTGTTCCAAAAGCGCCTCCTACTGACAGATAATCAATTTGCATGTTCTATAAGGCCATTTTCTACTTTTGTCTTAATGCTGTTGGATATAATTCAATTTGTTTAATTTTCCTAATAAAAAGACTGTTCAACTCTTAATATTTTGTATTTATATTCTCCCCTTTAAATTCTCCTACATTTTTTTTTTTCATTCCCATTTGCTCAAATAACAAAACAAATACTCCGCAAGAGTGTTTTCATGACTTCATGAAAAAATTGAAAAATCCTAATACAAAGTGATGGGGAAAAAGAAATGCAGAATAAATGGCCAAGGAGAATAAAAGTAAAAAAGAAATTAAGCAATTTAAAATATGTAATAAATTTGTTAAGAAACAGATTCGTGATGGGAAGTGTGTTTATGCATGCATTATTAAAATTAATATCTTTATAAAAACCAACAATAGTATTTTCAGGACTTATAACAATAATAAAAAAAATGAGAGAGATACTGATAACGGCAGTCAGAAGAGAGAACCGTCAAATTTACATCACTCCCAGACGCTGTATTAGAAACACCCTCGCAATAGCGTTAACTAGTTTTTTGTATTCTGATTCAAAGGTAATATAATACAGAGTACAGTGTTGTAAATGTATGCATATTTTTTTATTCCATAGTAAGGGCAATTCATACAATACATTTAAACAGAGCTACTTTAATACCATCTCCAAACTTTCTACCGCAAGTCTACTGTTATTCCTGTATAACTTGATTGACAGATGTCTCGTCCAGTCAGCGGTAAGTAATTTATCCTCAAACCAATGGCGCTGTCTCAAACTTTACCTACCTCTTCTGGTTTGTCTGATTTGTTGTTGTGTTTTCTGACTTGTTATAATGTTTTCGGAATTGTTGTTGTGTTTTCTGAATTGTTAATTTGTTTTTTAGATTTGCATTTGCGTTTGTAATTTGTTATTTTGTTTTCAGAATTGTGATTTGTTTTGCACTTCTCGGCCACCATATAGTCATGATAAAAAAATTATAATAATTTCAATAGATATTTAATTTACAGTGCATGTGAAATAAAATAAACCAATGTTTGTTGTGTTTGCCCATTTTCTTGATTTTGGGTGATAACATTGAAGTAATAGTAATATTTTAGAGGACATTTTTACAGTAATATGACCTTTTATTGGCACTGACAAAGTAATATTAACAAAAAGTAACAGCAATATTTCAAATGAGAAAAAGTCCCACAAACATGCAAAATATAACTGAATGCAGAGTAAACTAAGAATGACTTTAGCACAAGGGATAAATGTAGTAAGCTTTGGTTTGTTGTAGATCCCTGGTCTGAAGATGCCTCGTGGGATTGCTGTGGACTGGGTGGCCAACAACATCTACTGGACGGACTCGGGTCGTGATGTCATCGAAGTGGCTCAGATGAACGGACGCAATCGCAAGACGCTCATCTCAGGCATGATTGACGAGCCCTACGCCATCGTGGTGGACCCACCGAGAGGGTGAGCAGATAATCAACAGAAAGGATGCTTCCCCAGCATTCTTTAGCATCAGCTCTAGCTCTGGTTGTGTCTGTATAGTTTTGCCTTCACAACATTTCATTCATTAGTGGTATTTGCTAAGTCAATGATGCTGTTAGGGTTAACACTACTGAAATACGTATTTGGCTTTGTATTGAAACTACTGTATGTAAACCTTTAATTCTTGAAGCATCATGTACTGGGCCGACTGGGGAAACCACCCTAAGATCGAGACGGCCGCTATGGACGGCACCATGAGGGAGACGCTGGTGCATGAAAACATCCAGTGGCCCACAGGTCAGTCTTCATGTGAATCAAACACCGCACACACGGATTCAAGCACCTGTGACAGCCGTAACATGACTTCTGTTGGGTTTGTTCGCCAGGTCTAGCTGTGGATTACTTCAATGAGCGTCTGTACTGGGCTGATGCCAAACTCTCTGTTATCGGGAGCGTCAGACTGAACGGGACAGATCCAGTCATAGCTGTCTCCAGCGTTAAAAACAGTTGAGTCATTCCCTGTACATTCACATGCCTATTATTCCTCAAACAACTGGAGCAATTGAGAGGAATTACATTTTCATGAATTATTATTTATTTTGTACTGAAAACCCTTAACGGAAAAAGAACATTAGAGCCAAGGACAAAACATCTCAATGAACAAATGTAACCCGAAGGTCGCGGGTTTAAGTATCAGTACAGGCACTCATTACCCACGATTGAGGTGCCCCTGAGCAAGGCACCGAATCGCCAACTCACCAGGTGCAGCAACATATGGCTGCCCACTGCTCTGGCTGTGTGTGTGCACTTGGATGGGTCAAATGCATAGCACAAATTCCGAGTTTGGGACACCATCCTTGGCTTCACGTCACTTTAACTGTGCATGCTCCTGTGCTATTCAGTGCTGTATGAGTCAGTAACAGGAGGGAGGACACATTAGATCCAGAATAACACTAGTCCACCTAGTCAAAGCTGCCAGAATAATATAATCGTTTGGAAATAAAACAAAATTGCAAAATAATTGTAGTTCCCATACATGCACATCATTTCCACTGTAAATATAGTTTGAGAAGAGTTGTCGGTTGAATGTCGGTTTCAGCAGATTGGATGGAGGGTGGTTTGTTCCACCGCAGAAGAATGGAAAGTGTTTTTGTTTCTCATTGTGAAGGAACAGCTAGGCACTTCCAGTTCACCGAAGGTAAATTGCAGGAGTGAGCATGTGCTTGTAGGAGTACACTGGAAGTGGCAGTTCTGAAGGCCAGTGGCAAAGCCTTGAATTGGATGCAGGCAGAAACGCGTAGTGAGACCAAGTGAGGTGTGACGTGGGCCATCTTTGGCAGTTTGAAGATACTTTCTGGCAAAAAAGGGCATTACAGTGGAGTCGTTGCCAGTGGAGAGCATGAAAGGAGAATGACAGAAAACCAGAAAATAAGTGGACAGAGAAATGTGAGTGAGTGACAAGATGGTTGTTAGTGATAAAGTTATGGGTAAGGATGAGGTCTAGTTGTGTGTCACAAGCAGTTTTGGGGAAAGTTACTCTTAAATGTAATGCAATACAATATTGTGTTACTCCTTAAAAATAAACTAATCGCATAACTTTGTATGGAAAGTAATGCGTTACGTTACATCTGCATTACTTTTTCTCATCTGGCCTGGCTTGCTTGTTTATTTTTATGTAAAAAAGATGTTTTAAGATGTTTGTTTATCTAAAGTCATTTTTGCTTATTAGTATATTTGAATTGGATCATTGAAGGTCATCAGCAAAGACATTGGTTAATAAAATGGGATTTAATACATAAAGGATATTTGTGTTATTTAACATATTTAATTATTGCAGGTTTGTGTCATATTCTGAGTTTGCATTTCACGGTTTTTATTGATTTTGAGGAATGCTGAATCTGTTTCTGTTTAAGTGAGATGAGTAAATGCATGTTGACATTTAGTCTAGATCTACAGTAACATGATGTTCACACAACGTTGACTCCTGATCTTTCTCAAAATGCGGACAGGAGAGCTGTCAGTCACAGTACATAGGAAATCAGAGAAACTGGTGTTACTTATTTGAAAAAGTAACTCAGATAGTTTTAATGTTAATGAAAAGGAATGCGTTACTTGACTAGTTACTTGAAAAAAAGTGTTCTAAATACACAACTCGCGTTACTTGCAATGCGTTACCCCCAACACTGCACACAGGTGTGCTGTCTTGTAAGGTCTCCAGAAGGGCTAGGAATTCAGCTGCTTGAGGTTTGTCTAGGTGGCTTTTGAAATGACCAAAAACCACCAGCAAAGTTCCATCCTCAAGGATGGAGGACTGCAACATGTCAAGCTCCTCAAGGAAGTTGCCCAGTTGATCTTGAGGATGATAAATGTGTGAATTTTGTCAATTGTGACAGTAGGGCTGGGCAATATGATGGTATATGTCGTGATGACGGTACAAACGGATACCCGAAGCATGCACACAGAAAGCTGCACTCTCTCTGACAGCATGTGATCGCAAATTCAGATCTCTTTTACATCTTATTGTGCTTGAATGGCTGAATTCACGCACAATTATGTATAAATGCCCGTCGTGCAGAATATTCAAGTAAGCACAGTCAGTTATGTCTTAAATGAAAACAGTGAAAACCGGATGCATTTCAGTATACGATCTGTGCAGTCGGTCTTAAAGGGACAGCAGCCTAATTTACCTGCTGCTGTCTGTGTCATTAATGTTAATCAAACAACAAAAGAGAGAAAATCATTCACTGCTCTTGACTGAATCACTTTCGGATCTTTAATTAGAATCAGTTCGTATTTGATTCATACAGTGTTTTAGTTTTACACTTGATTATTCAATTTCTGTAGAATTTATTACTACATGTTAAGTAAAACTAATACAGCTGAAACACTTAAAGTGTATTTCATTTGTGTCTTTGTGCTATTTGTCCTATTGTTTGTAATTTACTTCTTTGTTCTTGTTTTAATAACTAAAATAAAATAAAAATAGCTAAATCAGAATATATATCGTTATCATGAAATAAAAATTATCATACCGTGAAATAAGATTTTGGATATATCGCCTACCCTTCTTTGGCAGAATTAATAGTAGTGATTGCTATTGAAAGGATTTTAATGCAGAGAGTGTCACACCCCATAGACTGTTTGTTGTGTTTTCTCTCTCTTGTGCCCATATTTGGTTATGTTCCTGTTCTCGTTATGTCATTATTAGTTCATCCTCCTCACCTGTCTGTCCCTCATCAAGCTCCCCTATATTTAGTCAAGTCTGTACATTCTGTCCTTGTCCAGTGTTAAAGTTGAGTTGTGCGTGTGTTACTGCCTACCTTCTGTGGATTCCTTCTGTGTGGTTTATATTAAAGATTATTTGCATTCTTCTTCGTCTTCGTCGTGCGCTTATCACACTGTACCGTGACAGAGAGAAGATAAAGAAGTGAATCTGTGCTTGGAGTGCCGATGACAATAGTGTTCCTGTAGCTCAAACAGCTCAGCAATGTCAATGTCACGGGTTCCGTTTAATCGTCAAAAAATAGCTATCAAGTGAAGTTCCATTCTGCATTTTATTGTGGTTGAATATTATGTTTTACTCTGAAATGTAACATTGTGGAAATAAAATGGATTGTTCACTTGGGTTTAACTTTTATAAAAAAAATAAATAAAATAGTTAATGCTGTTTTTATCTGTTTCTTTGTCTTCCCTCAGCTCCGAGTGGCACCTGTAACCTGCTTTGTCTGAATGGTGGAACTTGTGTCCTGAATGCCAGAAAACAACCCAAGTGTCGCTGTCAGCCAAACTATGGAGGAGAGAGATGTGAGCTAAACCAGTGCAAAGAGTTCTGCCAGAACGGAGGAACGTGTACCGCATCACCCACAGGTACAGCATCACAAATATATGGGCTTTAAATATCGTCTCACATGTCTAATCTTACATTAAACTGCTGTTCAGCATGTTAGTGAATCCTGGGAGACATTGTTCACCTGCTCCTGGGCTCACCTGTCTCTTCGATCTCTCCACTTCCATGTTTATTGTGGTGGTTAAGGGGCGATGTTAACATTTGCATGGCTGGCTCGCCACGATATGTATTTAAAAGGCATATTATGTTATTATAATATTAATAACACAAAAATAACTTCTCTTAAAATATTTTTAGGAGCTCCGACTTGCCGTTGTCTGGCAGGCTTCACAGGACCCAACTGTAACCAGCGCACATGCGAGAACTACTGTAAGAATGGAGGAAACTGCACAGTTAATCGTGGAAACCAGCCCACCTGCAGCTGCCCTGCAGACTTCCTGGGAGACCAATGTCAATATCGTAAGTATTACAGCCCCTTCTACTGCCTGTGGAAATCAAATGAGTTAATGTTTAGGTCTTTCCAAACGTTTCCATTGGACAAATGTGTAGCAAATAACCTCAAAAGGGAAATGTATATAAATAATTACAATGAATTATAATTAATTACAATTATTTACCTCAGCTGCCAGTAGTAACTGTAGCAGAATTAATATTACAATTATCTAATCTGTCCATCCAGCGATTCAGTATAATTTTTCATATCAACTCTAAGAAAGGATATTTTCGTGTCCACAGAAAATAACTTTCTTACAGTACTAGTGCATCAGAGCATGTAGCTATAGATCGGATCATAAAAGGGACACTATTCACAAACAGAACCAGAAACTCATGTAATTTGTGCACAAAAGTTTTATTAACTAAACACTAACACATAACTAATCGAAACAAACATACAATCACTCATACATGGTAGGGCTGCACGATTATGACAATTGAAATATGAAAAATCATAATTGTCGATTGTTCCCTTGAAATTGTAATTGTGATTATTAATTACGATTATCACAATTTACATTTGAATGATGTTTATACAATTGTTTGATGCAACTGCATGCCATATTTTTATATGAAAATAAACAAGCTGAATGCTGAAAACTGACAAGACTGAAAAACCTTTAGTGCTTTTCTACAGTATTAAGCCTCAAATGTCAAATATACATCGGATTGGTTTCTTCTTTAAATTAGAAAAAAAGTAAATATATGAATGGTATTATAATGTTATACTAAAACTAAAACAATGGAAAAACCCTTAAGATAACATGTAGAAAGAAAAAAACATATCTTAAGCATGCAGAATAACATAAGTGGACTTTGAACGATTAATTGCCGCTTTGAATGATTACGTAATTGTGGCATCCATAATTGTAATCGTGATTAGTAATTTGATTAATTGTGCAGCCCTAATACATGGGGAAGTAAAAGTGGATGAATGAAACCATTCGAGAAACCAGAGAATGCAGTTACGGAAAATGAGTCAGTTAACCACCTGAGTGAAACCATCAGTGCCGTTTAACAACGGGGTCTACAGCTTATTCTAAACCTCTGTTTCGTTTAGTTAAATGTACGATACTTGCATTGCCTTGGCTGTTGAATGAGCTTCCGGATGCAGTCTCAGATGAAAGTGTTGATGGTTTTGAGGTTCGGTGGTGTCGGTGGTGTCGGAGTCGCGATCACGTTCTTCCGGGTTTGAAGAGTGATGAACTCCAAAAGATGTTATTCTGACTCTGTGGTGGTCGGGAGAGATTTTTCCCAGATGGAAAGTGATGAGAGACGAGAGCTAGAGAGACATCAGCTGAGATCCGAGGACCTTTGGTGAATGGAAAGACGAGGCCGCAGCCTGGCACAAAGTTATGGGTCCTTGAAGACTTCTAGCTCAGCATCCTCATCTTCTCAGAATCTAAAAGAACCGGGCTGATCTGGTGATCAGTGATCTATAAAGTGTGAGGATGTCACACCCTCAGGAACGGGTCTACAGCTTATTCTAAACCTCTGTTTCGTTTAGTTAAATGTACGATACTTGCATTGCCTTGGCTGTTGAATGAGCGTCCGGATGCAGTCTCAGATGAAAGTGTTGATGGTTTTGAGGTTCGGTGGTGTCAGAGTCGCGATCACGTTCTTCCGGGTTTGAAGAGTGATGAACTCCAAAAGATGTTATTCTGACTCTGTGGTGGTCGGGAGAGTTTTCTCCCAGATGGAAAGTGATGAGAGACGAGAGCTAGAGAGACATCAGCTGAGATCCGAGGACCTTTGGTGAATGGAAAGACGAGGCCGCAGCCTGGCACAAAGTTATGGGTCCTTGAAGACTTCTAGCTCAGCATCCTCATCTTCTCAGAATCTAAAAGAACCGGGCTTATCTGGTGATCAGTGATCTATAAAGTGTGAGGATGTCACACCCTCAGGATTTGAGGGAGCCAATGAGGAATGGTACCTTTGGAGGGAAATGTTACGATCTTTTGTCTCTAGCATGGTGTTTTGCACATGTAACTGGATTGAATCTTCAAGATTCGTATAATACTAATATGTCACAGAGTTAGCAAAATGTCATGTAAATTAACAAATAGGAAACGTAATTTGGAGCTCAGATACCAAACATGTTATGTGTGAGTTCATATTAACTAAGGATTCTATCATAATGCATGCATAAAACAGTATACAATACAAAATACAATATACAAGAACAGTAGTAATGTGAACCAGATCTAAAGGTGGTCTTCAAGCCGTGATGAAGAAACTAATTCAGATGAAGCGGGGTTTTAAACGGTGTTCTCTACTTTTCTAACAGGGTCATGTGATGGATTCTGTGACCATGGAGGGACATGTATGCAGTCCAGCGATGGGTCGAGACAATGTCGCTGCCCTCCACGCTTCATCGGCAACAACTGTGAAGTGGACAAGTGTCACTATTGCCGTGATGGCAAGTGTATTCCCACCAACATCTACCAGCCACATGGAGACGTTACATGCAGGTACACAATCTCATACTCTAGTACACGTATACATATGTTAGGGCTACATACAATTCAAATTGATCCATTTACTTTCTAAATCTCAGTTCTCTTTCACTTGGCTCATTTGACATCTTACTTTAGGAAGTAGCTATTGTGTGGCCAATCATGAAGCCCTTTAACCTAACGTTTAAATCAAGAGTGAGGTGTTATGTAGTATAACATTCTGAAAATATCTTAAACTTGTGTTAAACACCTACCTTATTTCGGGCATTTAACCAAAAAAACTCTCTCAAAAAGTCCATTGTTTCAGGATGATAGATCTGTAAATGCTAAAACTTGTTTCCAGGTTTTGGCTTACAAAAAAAAGTCATCCCTGCAGCACGCTATTGGCCAGTGCAGGCTATTGGCCCCGTCCATTCCTTATATAATACTCTGCACTCGCCAAAAGGGCATCCTACATCTTTTCACTCGCAGCATCTGTTTGCTTGCGTCTTTTGTTAATATCGTTGGCTCAATTTGATGCTTGGAGTCACTACTGGAACAACTGGATCTGACAGCACCCTCTTACTTCTCAACTCCTCCCCTGTCATATTGAGACAATGGCATTTCACAGTGGATAAAAGCAACTGCACTGCAGCAGTGTTGTTCTCTCCTAACACATACCTTGATGGTTGGAAACGTTTAATGTTCATAATGCTTTCCCAACAATATGTTTTTAGTTGCCCTGTTTTTTTATTGACTAAATCTTATGTAAGTGAAACTATATAATGCGTTTGTGTTGCAGGTGTACCAGTGGCAGAATCCAGCCAAGCTGTTATACATGTGAAGGGTACTGTGCTAATGGGCAGTGCTCTCTTAGTGCCTCAAACCTCCCACAGTGCAAGTAAGCTGTGTTATTTTAGTCTCATTTATATATTGTTATAGTATTCATTAATATTTTGAATGATAGCTTTTATTGTTTTTATCTTTTTTATTTTTATTTCAATTTTAGTACTTAAACTTATTTACATTTTTCATTTAAGTTTTTCAAGTTTAAGATTTTCTTCTAATATTTATTATTATATTATTTATTTTTCATTTTCAGCTTTATTTTAATTACTGAAAACCATTTATAATGGTGTATTTTAGTTAACGATAACAGCACTGCAAGTCATATAACCTAAACATACTCAATAGTACCACTTGAGCACGCAGTCATATCCACTACCACTCCAAATTATTTTATTCAATCTACGTGGTTTCTTCAGATGAAGATAGCATGCATAATCCCAAAACTCCGAGAAAACCAATTTCCTGGCTTCTGATATACAGTATGAAACCTAATTTCTTCCATTCATTGCTAAAGCTGTGTTGCTTGTCCTCTGTCAGTCATTCTGTTGATGCTGCTGTCTGTTCTTCAATCAGGTTTGTGTAGCAAATCATTGACTGGAATATAATAGACAGACTGATGCATAGAAATAGTTTGTTGCAGTTATGCTGACACTATCAATCACAGAGTCTGATTTCTAGACCAGCAGACATTGGGATTTCTATGTTAGTTGCTACCTGTACAACATCATGTTATCTGGACAGGTTCTTATTCATCACCATGCACCTTTGCCACTGAGGTACCACAAGGGTCAATGCTTAGGCCTTTATTCTTTCCCAGCTCACCAGGGGAAAAAACACACACATCACCTCTATCCTAGGCATAGCTCACATAGTTGATGCCATGTGGGTTAACAAGCTTGGTTAGTGGACCACATTTTAAAAACTGCAGGATCCTGCCATTTCACACTCCATAACATTTAAGATAATAAAGGTAATTCTCAAGAACTCCACCATTCAGCTCCTCATGGCACTATGACTGTAACCATGTGAGAATTTATTAGCAACAGCATTGATCATTAAGTAGCTGCTACAAAATATGGGCGTATAGCCGTTTTTGGTTTAGTTCATATATACATATGTTAAATTCCTTTGTTTCTTCATGTAGATGTCCTCTTGGATGGGAGGGTCATCGCTGTGAGAATCCTGCTCCCATTGAAAATGTTGAATCCAGTGGCCGTAAGTCCATTTTTCGATTCTACAACTAATAGAAACATGTTAGGCCAATAGGTGTCATTACTGGTAAGGGTTTTGTTAAACATATATATATTTTTGGTAACACTTTACAATAAGGTTTCATTAGTTAATGTTAGTTAATGTATAAACTAACATGGACAAACAATGAGCAATACATTTATTTCAGTATTATTGTTTGTTAATGAAAATACAGTGGTTCATTGTTAGTTCATGTTAATTCACAGTGCATCAACTAATGTTAACAAGTGCAACTTTTGATTTTAATAATGCATTAGTAAATGTTGAAAATAATAACTTTGATCGATAAATGCTGTAGAACTTTTGTTAATGCTTAGTTCATGTTAAAGTAGTTAACTAATGAACCTTATTGTAAAGTGTTATCATAATTTTGATGGTGGTGTAATAGAATATTCTCCAAAATCTAAATAAAACTTATGATATTAATGTCGGTTTCTTTTAGGAACAGCTTCAATAGTTATTCCATTGGTTTTACTGATACTGCTGGTGTTGCTGATTGGAGGAGCAGTATTGTGGTACAGAAAAAGAATGAGAGGGTGAGTATATGATACAATTGTACTTCTGCTCTTTTTCAAAAGATTTTCACCTCTTTAAAGTGTTCTACTGTTCAGAATTTGAAATATAAGCAACTTCCCATCCTCAAAACACCTCTTTTCTCTCCTTCTTTCTTGGTAAATCGCATCTGCTCTTTTCCGTAGGCTTGGCAAATCCCGCTCCAAACGACCGCGGTAACGGTCTTTGTCCATTATGTCTTTAGAAATAATAACTTTGATCGATAAATGCTGTAGAACTTTTGTTAATGCTTAGTTCATGTTAAAGTAGTTAACTAATGAACCTTATTGTAAAGTGTTATCATAATTTTGATGGTGGTGTAATAGAATATTCTCCAAAATCGAAATAAAACTTATGATATTAATGTCGGTTTCTTTTAGGAACAGCTTCAATAGTTATTCCATTGGTTTTACTGATACTGCTGGTGTTGCTGATTGGAGGAGCAGTATTGTGGTACAGAAAAAGAATGAGAGGGTGAGTATATGATACAATTGTACTTCTGCTCTTTTTCAAAAGATTTTCACCTCTTTAAAGTGTTCTACTGTTCAGAATTTGAAATATAAGCAACTTCCCATCCTCAAAACACCTCTTTTCTCTCCTTCTTTCTTGGTAAATCGCATCTGCTCTTTTCCGTAGGCTTGGCAAATCCCGCTCCAAACGACCGCGGTAACGGTCTTTGTCCATTATGTCTTTATTTTGTCTCTCCCCCATTCTGTCCATCTTTCTTGCTGGTTTGGAGAATTGTGGTCCAAGTGTTCTTGTTGTCTTCATGGTCTCACCCGATCTCTTTCTGTCAAACCACCTGACTAAACCCTACAAGTGGTTTGTGCCTTGTTCTGATGAGAAGGCAATAATCTGCTACCGAGAATAAAGAAATAGATGTAATTGTGCTTGACTGTGAGAACCTATTGTTTTCAACAGAGTCATACTAGTCCCGCTGTATTACTGTATGATTATCTACAATCGGTTCTCAGCAGGACTGATCTGTTGAACATGTGCTGCATTCAAAACCCAGTGTTTTATCAAGATAGATTGATTTAGTTACAATAACCTTAGTTATTAAACAATGTGGTAATGCCTTATTGTATAATATAGTGAATTTATTACTCACAAATGAAAAGCACTTCTCATTTGATCAATTTTTCATGTTATTTAGAACTTGATAGATGTGAATGAAAAGATCTGATTATTCATAACAAATGAGCCATCACTGCAAAAACAGTTTCTCTTCAATGCGTTTCAGTTAATATTCAATAAAATGCATTGATTTAGCTGGACTTGACTATTGAATGAGGTCACTATATAACTAAACTAAATTAAAACTGATATTGCTGATTGTCAGTTGAAGAAATTGTGACACTGACACTGTTTGTCCTGTTTTAACGAACAACAATGTAAAGCGGTAGTGAAATACATATATCAATAATCAAACGCTTGTGACCACACATCAGTTGAATTTAAGTGAACTACTGTATATTACAGGGTTAGTTCACCTAAAATCATTTACTCACCCTCATGTCATTCCAAACCCATAAGATTTTCATTCATATTTTAAACAAAAAGGAAGGATCGGGAGAGGTCCGTGAGCCGGTACTCGAACTCGGGACGCCTGAAGTGCATCAGCGCTATATATCAGCGCGATGGTGCTGGCAATAAATTAAGATACTTTTAATAAAACCTGTGAGATTTATGTCCCGTCAATGAAAGTCCACGCAAGTAATCTATATGAATCGAGTGGTGTGTCTTACTAAGAGAACAGATTTAACTTAGGCTTTTATTTACATAAACATTGATCAACACACATACTGGATATACAGAGCACGTCAAATGTGGTAAATGAAAGCTCAAACTTGTACAATGTATTTATAAACTGTTTTTGAAGTTTCAAAGTGTGGGTGAAATAGACATTCAAAAGAGGGCCAGAAATCTCTCGTTTCATTTAAATAGATCTTTATTTGTGTTTTGAAGACGAACTAAAGTCTTATGGGTTTGGAACGACATGAGGATGAGTAAATAATGATCAGAGGAACTGTTATACAGCCCAACCCTTTTGGTACACATACTTTTGTACCTTAATAAATGATCCGAATTTTCTAATCATTAATCAAGTTGGTTGACTTAAAGGGTTAGTTCACCCAAAAATGAAAATTAGGCTGCGTTTTACTCACCCCTGAGGCATCCTAGGTGTATATAACTTTCTTATTTAAGACAAATCCAATCGGAGTTATATAAAAAATTGTCTTTGATCTTTCAAGCTGTTTAATGCCACTCAGCGGGTGTTGCATTGCTTCAGTCCAAAAGAACTTAAATAAAAATCGCCCATCCATAAAAAAAGTGTCTCTCACGGCTCCGGGGGGTGAACAAAGTCCTTCTGTAGCAAATCGATGCATTTTTGTAAGAAAAATATCCATATTCAAAAAGTAATATACACTTGAATCTAGTTTGCGCTCACTGTTGTAAACAGAAGCAGTTCCGGGCGGATGACGTATGAGGTCGGCGTTGCGCATGCGCCGCTCAGAAGTGACGAATGCAGAAGCGCAGCGGAGAGATCAAAACAACGGTCAAGAATTAGAAGTACAAAACGAGGATTTGTAAAGAAGAATGTCAGAGGATTTCGATATAAGCCAAGAGGAGACTGGTTTTCCTTTGCTAAAGTAAGGAAACTGCTTCCTTTGCTCCTGTTACAGTAACAAACGTTGGTTTTCACGAGACTCACCGGCGCATGCGCAACGCTGACCTCGTACGTCATCCACCCGGAACTGCTTCCAGTGTACAACAGTGAGTGCAAGCTACATTCAAGTGATTATTACGTTTTGAATATGGATATTTTTCTTACAAAAATGCATCGATTCGCTCCAGAAGGCCTTTGTTCACCCCCCGGAGCCGTGTGAGACACTTTTTTTTAAATGGATGGGCGATTTTTATTTAAGTTCTTTTGGACTGATGCATGCAACACCCGCTGAGTGGCATTAAACAGCTTGAAAGATCAAACACAATTTTTAATATAACTCCGACTGGATTCGTCTGAAAGAAGAAAGTCATATACACCTAGGATGCCTCGGGGGTGAGTAAGACGCAGCCTAATTTTCATTTTTTGGTGAACTAACCCTTTAAAATTGTGGATACAAGCAAACAATTGTACACATATATGATGTATTTTGGTAAACGCTGGGTTTATGATGGTTTCATTTTAGTTTGTTCCAATGACTGTTAGTGGCATCCCTCTGTGTTGTGGCTGTATTTCTCCTTGTGCTGCTTTGTATGGTGTAATACTGACCTCACAACCTCGTTTCCTCTGAATAAAAACTGTATGTTGTGTATCTGCAGAGCCAAAGGCTTTCAGCATCAGAGAATGACAAATGGCGCTATGAATGTTGAGATTGGGAACCCAGCCTATAAAATTTATGAAGGAGAGCAAGATGACGACGTTGGAGAATTGTTGGATGCTGACTTCACACTGGATCCTGACAAAGTAAGATGACAGCAAACTACATACATTTTAAAAGATGCTTTATTTCACTACTCTAAAACAATATTAGAGGAAAACTTAAAATTCCATTGATCCATTTCATAACATGTGAATTCCTCAGAGCCCAGTTATTGTAAGGATTGCAGCAGTAGGGTTCCGGAAGTTGCAGATATTTTTATTTTATTTTAAAAAGAAATTAATACTTTTATTCATCAAGGAAATCGATCACTCATCATAGATGGCAGTAAAATGACACATTTATAATGTTACAAAAGTGTTTTTTCAGCTAAAGAATCGGTCTGATCCCATATATTTCCAACTTTTTCTTTTGTAGCCGACCAACTTCACAAATCCTGTGTATGCTACTCTGTACATGGGAGCTCACAACAGCCGCAACTCCCTGGCCAGTACAGATGAGAAGAAGGAGCTGCTATCACGGGGCGACGAGGAGCCCCTGGTGGACCCCCTGGCTTAGACTGTCCATCAGTTTGGTCCATACATGGAAAATACCATTTGCCTTTTTGAGAAAAAGAAGAAGAAAACGAACAGAAAGAAAATCAATGATTAAGTGTTAACACTGTATAAAATGTACAAAATGAAGGACTACTTTTGTATGTGATTGCAGTATTATATTTTGTTCTTTTACAATTCCTCTGGTCACAACAAAACATCACAACAACAAAAGATACATTTTTTTTCTTTTTACAAAAAGATGGGAGTTTTTTGTTTCAATTTTGAGGTCACCTCCCCTTTACCTTGATAGCCACTACCTCTGTGCAATATGGAGTCAAAAAAGAGATTGGAACAATGACATTTTTTTATTTTTGTATGAAATGTATAGAGAAAAAATGTTGTTCCATCAGTAATGCCAACTGTTTGTTGTATGTTTGACTGTGTGGAGAAGGAGACTTTGACATGGACCCAGTGCTGTTTGCTTCAAACTTACTACAATATCAAACAGATGTTATCAATTTTATCTATGTGCCAGTTTTACTACTCCCATTGTAAGTTCATTATTATTTACAGTATAAGGATAATCGATTTCTTGTGCACAGATACAAACCATTGCAATATTGCATATGCTTATTACAGAACAGATTTTTTAAAGTGAGAATGTCAGTGTTGTAGATTTGGACACACTTGACAGAAATGTTTCTCATGATCTTAAAAACCTTATGATCTAAAGGCTTCTGCTTAACTGCTTGAAATTAGTTTTATAGACAACAATAAATTGTGCCTATGTATGAATCTTTTTACGAAACTAAACATTTTTGTTCAAATGTAAATCACGTAAAATTAATCGTTGCGTTAGAAAGGATAGTAGAAGAAAAGCAACCATCGGGAGTCCAGCACGTTTGAAAATGTGCATAAAAGAGATCAGATTTAACAGTTTTTGGTCACTACATAAATAATTCCCATACTTCAATCTGAGTTTAGATTAATTGTAAAGAATGAGTGGGCGTGTCCCAGCTTTTGATTGGTACTGTATTTATTTTCAGATGAATAAAGTAAAGCAATGGTAATTGAAAGTGAACATTCCTGTAGAAAAGAAAAAGCTGCTTACAAGAAAATCCCACAACAATCAAATGCACATTTGTGCATTGGTTGTCATGGCATGTTTTGAGCACATTTAAAGCTACACATACTCCTGAAGAGGGCTTTTGACAGAAGAAAGTGAATTTTTACACTTGTGTATGATTCAGTAACAAACGTTGGTTTTCACGAGACTCACCGGCGCATGCGCAACGCTGACCTCGTACGTCATCCACCCGGAACTGCTTCCAGTGTACAACAGTGAGTGCAAGCTACATTCAAGTGATTATTACGTTTTGAATATGGATATTTTTCTTACAAAAATGCATCGATTCGCTCCAGAAGGCCTTTGTTCACCCCCCGGAGCCGTGTGAGACACTTTTTTTTAAATGGATGGGCGATTTTTATTTAAGTTCTTTTGGACTGATGCATGCAACACCCGCTGAGTGGCATTAAACAGCTTGAAAGATCAAACACAATTTTTAATATAACTCCGACTGGATTCGTCTGAAAGAAGAAAGTCATATACACCTAGGATGCCTCGGGGGTGAGTAAGACGCAGCCTAATTTTCATTTTTTGGTGAACTAACCCTTTAAAATTGTGGATACAAGCAAACAATTGTACACATATATGATGTATTTTGGTAAACGCTGGGTTTATGATGGTTTCATTTTAGTTTGTTCCAATGACTGTTAGTGGCATCCCTCTGTGTTGTGGCTGTATTTCTCCTTGTGCTGCTTTGTATGGTGTAATACTGACCTCACAACCTCGTTTCCTCTGAATAAAAACTGTATGTTGTGTATCTGCAGAGCCAAAGGCTTTCAGCATCAGAGAATGACAAATGGCGCTATGAATGTTGAGATTGGGAACCCAGCCTATAAAATTTATGAAGGAGAGCAAGATGACGACGTTGGAGAATTGTTGGATGCTGACTTCACACTGGATCCTGACAAAGTAAGATGACAGCAAACTACATACATTTTAAAAGATGCTTTATTTCACTACTCTAAAACAATATTAGAGGAACACTTAAAATTCCATTGATCCATTTCATAACATGTGAATTCCTCAGAGCCCAGTTATTGTAATGATTGCAGCAGTAGGGTTCCGGAAGATATTTGCAGATATTTGTTTTTGTTTTGTTTTTTTATTCATCAAGGACACATCAAGGAAATTGATCACTCATCATAGATGGCAGTAAAATGACACATTTATAATGTTACAAAAGTGTTTTTTCAGCTAAAGAATCGGTCTGATCCCATATATTTCCAACTTTTTCTTTTGTAGCCGACCAACTTCACAAATCCTGTGTATGCTACTCTGTACATGGGAGCTCACAACAGCCGCAACTCCCTGGCCAGTACAGATGAGAAGAAGGAGCTGCTATCACAGGGGGACGAGGAGCCCGCACATGACATTTACAAGAAGGGTTATTATATCCATAACTCGGTGTCCTTGAGCAAGCATGGCAGATGGCACATTTTGAGATGAGATGAATGAGGAAGTTAAATGAGATTTATTTGGTAGATTGGCGCTATATGACTAGAAATGGCCACCTGAGGATTTTGTTAGTATGGTCACTGTGAAATTACTTACCTTAAGATTTAGACCTATTTATTCACATTAATTTATACTTAATTGACACTCACTAGTAAACTAGCATCAGTTGATGATGAAGAAGGTAATGTTTCCCAAATAAAATTGTATAATATCAGCTGGCAAATCCAAACTTAAGTGGACAAGTAACACAACCATAACACAAACGACACCACAGGGTGGCACACCACAGCCATATCACCCTGCAGCCCAAGACTGGTTGCCCACTGAAGCTAAGCATGGTTGAGCCTGATCAGTACCTGGATGAGAGACCTCCTGGGGAAAACTAGGTTGCTGCTGGAAGAGGTGTTAGTGTAAGCAGCAAGGGGTGCTCACCCTGCAGTCTGTGTGGGTTCTGATGCCCCATTATAGTGATGGGGACAGTATACTGTAAAGGAAAAAAAAGTGTCCTTTAGGTGAAACATTAAACCGAGGTCCTGACTCTCTTTGGTCATTAAAAATCCCATGGCACTTCTCATAACGAGTTTGTAACCCTTGAAGCCCTGGCCAGATTCCTCCGTTGGCCCTTATCAACCATGGCCTCCTAATAAACCCCCTCCACTGAATTGGCTCTATCACTCTCTCCCCTCTCCAACTATCGCTGGTGTGTGGTGAGCGCACTGGCACCGATGTACTGTGGCCGCCGTCGCATCATGCAAGTGGATGCTACACACTGGTGGTGGGTGAGGAGAGATGATGCTTTTTTGTTGGGAACTAACCGAAGGCTCAAGTTCATTGCAATAAACCAACTTTCGTAGAGAGGACTTGTCTTGTGCTTCATACAGGGCGTGGTCACATGAATAAGCCCGCTGATATAATTGGCAACATGAACAAGTTGCATTAGAACACCATGATGCACAGTGTAATAAGATGGCATGCAGTCGTGACAGCGACATTGCGTACCTTGTGTATAAAAGACGTGCAACGCAAGTGAGGATACATCTAGATTATATAATCTAGCAAAAGAATTTGCCAAAAATCAGATTTCAGACCCAATGCCAGTGTCCAAAGTTGGAAACGTGGAGGGTTCACCCTAGGGGTGTGCAATATATATCATCTATGATCAAATCATGTTGTTTTAACAATGAGCCAACACATTGATCATCTAACCTCTTCCTCACCTTGTCATGGTCCTGAGGTTCAGATGACACCAACACAGAAAAGACAGTAGAGGAGGAGGAGGAATGGGTCCACCTCTCCCGTCGCCTCCTCAGAGGAGTTTGAGACCAATGCAGTCCTCCCAACACCATTTATGTCGGCTGCAGCTTTCCCCGAGGGGCCTGTTATCACTGCAGAACGTTCAGAGGCGGCCAAGAGCACTGCAGTGCCCCTGGAAGTGGCCATCTTCTCAGTGTCACCACGCTCTCATAAGCGGAGGGAAAGAAAGTTTCCCTCCACCCCACAAGCATCAGTGGTTCCAAGTTCAATGGACCTGGATGACCCGACTCTGGTGATCCCAAGTCTGGTGGTCCTGGAGGACTTGACTCAAGTGGTCCCAAGTTCAGTGGTCCCAGAGGTCCCTGAGCAACCCACTCCATAAAGTCCATTCCAGCTTCCCAGGAGCCTGTCTCAGAGCCTATTCCAGAGCCTGCTCCAGACTGGGAGTTTTCAGAGTCCACTCCAGAGTTCGCTCCAATCTAGGAGATTCCACCCGCATCAGAGTCCACTCCAAAGCCCGCTCCAGTCTGGGAGCCCTCAGAGACCAATCAAGAGCCCACTCCAGTCCAGGAGTGGACTGCTACACAGAGGCCGCTACAGAGCCATCCGATCTCACTGCTGCTGCCATAGTCAAGAAGGTCCGCTAAGTCCATTCCAGCTTCCCAGGAGCCTGTCTCAGAGTCTATTCCAGAGTCTGCTCCAGTCTGGGAGTTTTCAGAGTCCACTACAAAACTAGCTTTAGTCCGAGAGCCCTCAGAGTCCACTCCAGAGTCCGCTCCAATCCAGGAGCCCGCAACAGAGTCCACTCCATAGCCCGGTCCAGTCTGGGAGCCCTCAGAGACCAATCAAGAGCCCACTCCAGTCCGGGAGCCTGGCCCAGGAGGCTGCTTCAGAGTCTGCTCTGGCCCAGGAGGCCGCTTCAGAGTCTGCTCTGGCCCTAGAGCCTCTCAAAGACCCACAGGGTCCAGTTCCTCCCTGGCACTCCATTCCTGTTCCACCAGTGCCTGCCTGGTCAGTTCCGCTAGCTCCGCCCTGGCCTTCAGCTGGGACTCCAGACACGTCGGGGCCATCCTGTTTCATCCTTCTGGCTTCGCCCTGGTCCTCAGCTGGGACTGCAGACATGCTGGGGTCATCCTGTTCCGTCACTCCTACTCTGTCCTGGCCCTCAGCCAGGACTCCAGACACAACTAAACCTTCCTGGTCTGTCACTCTTGCTACGCCCTGGCCTTCAGCCGGGACTCCAGAGACACCTGAGCCTTCCTGGTCTGTCCCTTCGACTCCGCCCTGGCTCTCAGCCAGGACTCCAGACAAGTTTGAGCCTTCCTGGTCCATCCTTCCGGCTCCACCCTGGCCCTCAGCCAGGTTATCTGCCAGAATTTCTGATTCGCTGGATCCCCCATGGCTCAACCCTCCTGTCCCTCCCTGGTTATCCACATTGGTCCTGAACTGCCTTAAGACTTCTTAAGCTGTCTCACCAGCTACTTGTCTCCTTAGTGTTACTTTTGCCTGTCTTTTGTTTGTCTTGGTGTGTCTGTCTGGTCTGATCGTGTTGTTTGTCGCTTTGTTTTGTTGGTGTTTGTCAGTCTTGCGTTCGATTGCCAGGGGTCCTTTTGAGAGGAGTAGTGTCAGGGTTCTGTCACTTTGGTCTGGTTTATTCTTGGTACTGAGCTCGTGGCCAACATGTAGACGAGAGAGAGCACATGGCCCAAGTGAATGAGGGGTAATGTGACAGAGCCCTGACACATATTTTTACATGAGAATTTTAACACTTTACCCTCAGAGAGACTATTGAGGAGTCCGATGTGCAAATTAAATCGCTACAAAAACTCTTTTGTGTCAACTGCGGTTCAATTATTCAACAGAGAATTACAAAAAAGAGATTTCATATCAGTATACTGTAGCTTTTATTTTTATTTAGGTATGTGTAATTTATTGTATGTATGTACTGTGCTATGTGAGTTTAATGTTGTGTACCGGCCATGCCATGGTTGTCCAAGATGAATTTCCCAGAAATGGGACAATGAAGTATATTCATTCATTATTCATTCAGTAGACAACCAGATTCAACTGTTAGCTCATTCCTTCTGCCAGCTGCACTGGCAGAGCGGGGTTGGAATGAGTGAGGGCTTCAGACTGGGCTTAGGCTGTTTTCACCTGAATTAAAGATTTCTCACATTGTTTAGTCCATTCCCACTTTTTGGATTTATTCAGTAGTTCGAGCAACAGTTTCAGCCTGTTAGCTATATTTGGCACATATTTCACGTAATAAGACAACAGCCTCAAAAAAAGACTGAAGCTGACTCACATTTTGTTCTTCATGATTTTCAGTCCAAAACTCTGCAGTCTCTGCAAGGTGGCTTCCAGGTTACTCAAATTTTACTGAACCATTGGCCCCCAGCAAGACCGGAAAAGAGATCCTCAATAAGCTTCAGGGGATACTGCTCTGGGGTCAGAACACATCTGAGTACTTCTTGGAGTTTTGTGTTTCCAATGACCAGATGGACCTCTTGCCAATTCAGCTTAATCTTTTCCAGCCAAGTCCTTCCTAGCATTGCCCTCGATAATGTATAGTGATAGTTTTCTTTTTTGCATATTGAGTTCAACTGTCACCTCAATTATCCCTTTAACAGGAACTATCTCACCAGTGGCTGTGGGGTGCGATGCGATGCGATGCGGCAGCATTTCTTTAAATGTCGTCTCTGACACTAATGATACCGCAACTCCTGTGTCCACCTGCATACGTACTGGATTCCCATCCAGAAGAGGAGTCACCCAGTAGCCTCATTCGTCTCCTGAAACAGAAAAAACACATAAAGCATCCTTGTCCTCTGTTACCGAATAACTTTGTGTTTGCTGGGTTTTTTCAATTTGGTTCACATGCTTTTGTTTGAATTTTTTAGGGCCAGTGTTTTTACTTGGTTGTGCCTTTTTATTTTCGACACATATTTTTACATGAGAATTTTAACACTTTACCCTCAGAGAGACTATTGAGGAGTCCGATGTGCAAATTAAATCGCTACAAAAACTCTTTTGTGTCAACTGCGGTTAAATGATTCATAACAAACGAATTTGTTGAGATTTCATATCAGTATACTGTAGCTTTTATTTTTATTTAGGTATGTGTAATTTATTGTATGTATGTACTGTGCTATGTGAGTTTAATGTTGTGTACCGGCCATGCCATGGTTGTCCAAGATGTCATGACACTAAAGTTGGCACTATAGCTTCGTCTTTGATTTTGTTTGCCAGCACAAGTTAGTCAAATCGTTCAGTATAGACAGTCTACTGTTCTGCTGATTCATCAAATTATCCAATACTACCGATTAATCAGATTTATTCAGTAGTTCGAGCAACAGTTTCAGCCTGTTAGCTATATTTGGCACATATTTCACGTAATAAGACAACAGCCTAAAAAAAAGACTGAAGCTGACTCACATTTTGTTCTTCATGATTTTCGGTCCAAAACTCTGCAGTCTCTGCAAGGTGGCTTCCAGGTTACTCAAATTTTACTGAACCATTGGCCCCCAGCAAGACCGGAAAAGAGATCCTCAATATGCTTCAGGGGATACTGCTCTGGGGTCAGAACACATCTGAGTACTTCTTGGAGTTTTGTGTTTCCAATGACCAGATGGACCTCTTGCCAATTCAGCTTAATCTTTTCCAGCCTGCTAATGTTGACTGACTGGCTCAAAGTACATACACACAGAATGCTATAGAATTATTGCTTTAATATTGTC